ATAGGCGATCTTTCATACGATTTAATATTTAGTACATACATTATAAATCGGCATACGTGTGCACATTACATCTGAATGAACAAAAACAATGGAATGAGATTTTTATTTGTATACAGTATCGTTTTTCATACACATTTCAGTTTTAAATCGATAATATTTCACATCGAGGTTGTCAGTCTAGCATAGAATAACAGTTCAACAATCAGAAGTGAGTTTAAAGATGTTGTTTTGTCGAAAATAAAATTTAAGAATATAAAAGCAATACATGCGTGACAACATTAATGAGAAATTCCTTTCGGATATATGAATAATAAACTTCTGATTGATTACTTAAGTTCAGCAAAGTTTCACTGACGTTAACGTGCAATTGTACTTACGATTTATGTGTTACTCAAGCATTGTAGATAAAACATGAAAAAGAAGGTTCGTGTTTGCAAGATATCATTTCAAGGCTTTTGAGCGATAAATCAAGTTTGAATTTTTCTTCTTCATTTTTTCATATTGCATAATTGTATTGTATCCATTTTGGTGGTAAAACGGTAAATCTAGTTAAACCGTGTATTTTACACCACATTTCTTGTACTTGTGTTTATTTCATGCACGTAAACTTTATCGTTCATTACCTAATGTAAATTGTATTATTATTGAACTTTAATAAAATGGAAAGAAAGCAAAAATTAACTTGAAAAGTCCTAATTCAAGATTTTTCCGTTTTATCTCATCTTATATAGGAACATTGCCTTTATAAATGCACACATCTGCTGAATTTAAATACAATGCAGCAACATTATAAGATGATTAAATCTTTTAAAAGAAAGGAGATTCGTTTTTGCATTGATATAGAAAAAAATAGCGAGTTATGTCTGTTGCTTGACGTTGAACACTATCATGAGTTTGGCATTTTAGTAGTCAGGTGGTCATTATTGTGACGATATCAAAGATTTAGTAATAAGGATATATCAACATAGTAAGACAAACTTTATAAAAAAAATATTGATCTTTTGAATTTCCCTCAATATGACTTTGACCTTCCAACTTAAATGACTAGAATTCTAGTAATATTGGATACGAAATTCAGTCGTTTGTTTATTGTAGCTATTTGGTCAATATCAAAAGAAAAAATATGGAATTCAGGCACTATGTAGATTTTCTAGAGTCTTCTATTGACATCAATATTCTTTTTCTTACTGTTTTAATTCGAACATATAACGTTTAAAAGACGGTAAGAATTGAATAGCCTCGTGTACAATGAAATATCTGAAAATTTAGCTTAGTGTACTGTTGGTTTTGAATAAGGAATAAGATGTAAGGAGAAATTTATGTATTTAAGACATTTATAAGATATATCTCTCTGACACATAGATAATTCAACGCTAAGTTTGAGTTATAAGAAAAGACAAGGTCAACACTAAATATCGCTCAAGATGGAATTCAAGCTTGATGGCTTTTAGTTGTAACATGAGATTTATTTACGTTCTTGCTACACATATGACCGGTGTAAAAGTGGGTTTCAAATGGCAAAAGCTTTTGAAAAAAGGATAACAAAAATTAAATGGCACATTTATATTAGTCCTGGCACCTGAAATATAATAATGATTTATGAAAAAAGTAAGAACGGTTAAAGAAAATTAAAATGTACACGATTTCGCGCAATGACTTTGTAGTTGCTAGAAACGTAAAACCAGGTAGCTTTAAACACATTTACCATGATACCGCTTGAAGATAAATGAATATAAATTAAAATTAAATTTCTTAAACAATTAAGCAACAAAGAAACAACTTTTCAGGTAAACACCATATCCGGATATCCCTGAATTCACACAATTGGGCACTTATAAACACGAAAACGTCTTCAATTATCACGATTGCCCTTTCATAAAAATCTATAATATAATCTGTAATATAAATATTTCCGCCAAATAGAATACTATCGGTTTAAAACAAAAATAGAGGGCACAAAAATATCATTTTGAAAACATATCGCATATAAATTGCAGTAATGTTGATTTATTCAAAACAAAGTTATATGATTGTTAGATGTAAGAAGCTAAAAGCAACGGCATACGAGGGTATCCCAAAAATCCGTAACAAATCTTACCGACGAGTTATTTTGAAAGCCAGTATATAATAATTTTTAAAGTAAATTGTTTAAAATGTTTCAATTGTATAAGTTTGTTACGTCAAAATATCTAACCGTAGCTGTGTAATTTACCCTTTGAATACACTTGGCGAACCAACGTATGTATTTGGCGACACAAGCTATTACGAGAATCATTATTCACAGCAATGTTTCGCATCTAGATGACTATATGGAATGAGATGCATCGTGGACAATGACATATCTAAACATTTAGCTTATTGCACCATTGATTTTGCATAAGAAAGTATTTGTAAGGAGGAATTAATAAATTTGTAAGAAATCTTCCTCAGACACATTGAAACTTATGAACATTTTTTGATTCAAACGTAAAGTCGGGGTCTTAGCTATATGTGCCCGGTGATGGGATTAAAGTCTGTTTGGCCTTTTGTATTGTGGAAATCGAGAGTAACAAATCAACTGGTTATGTTCACGCTAAATATTTGAAAGTGTAAAAAATAAGTTAAATAGAGACATAAACGTATTGAGGAGATTAATGAGTTCACTCATACTGACAATGCTGTCTTTAATTTTAACAAAAGAACGACGCTTCAGGCAAATGTCACTGACAATGCTATCTAAGGCTATTAACCTTACACTTGATTAAGTAAGCAAAACTCTAAATACGTAGTATGGAATAACTTGAGATTTTAAACAAAAATGCAGAATTGATTCAAAGATTGTATTTATTTGTGCTGAGCTTTATACAATATGCAATTATTATTTTGATCACAATGTTTAGTTGAAATGTATCATTTTAAAAAAGCAAGCTATAGTTCCAACAAGGTGAAGTGCTTGTGCTCGTTCCTACAATATAGTGTTATATAAATAATGACTATTGTACAGAAATAGATCAAATGCATTTTATACTAATGCTAATAAGCAATTACTGTTTTAACATCTGGTATCTTTGACAAATAAATCCATTTTTTATTACGGAAATGCAGTGCCATTTTTGAATTTAATCAGTAGACACATTTAATTATCTTTGCATTTTAAAAACATTATTATTTTATGGATCATTGTATTATAAGGATGCTTCTATAAAAACCTAAAATAAATAAAAGAATATTGTAGTTAAGACTATCGTTGAATGCCTAATAAACTTGAGTTTATTGTAAGGTTATCAGTAGGTTCACAACCAAGATTGTTAATTTTCATTGATTATTTAACAATCTTAATGTGATTCCTTAAGTAAACAATGAAGTCATTATTACATTTTTGAAATAATCATTATTTCCTGTTAGTGTATATTGCGATAAGGCATCAAAATTAGTGTTTGTGAATGTGAGTACAACTTATGTAAACTTGGTTATCTTCAGCTATTTTCATTAACTTTAGATGATTAAGATTTTATCATTGCAACTGAATTTGTCATTAACCGAGTAAATTTACTTGCCGAACATCATGTTTAAAACAAATGTGGTCTGCATGTTTCAAACACAAAGGTCATATCTAGCGGAAATTTTTTTTTAATATCAATTGCATATTTTTGTTTGGTATAAATGCTTGATCTTTGAATATCACATAACATTCTTAACATTGAAAAGGTAAACAGTCTGAAGTGCCATTCATCAATTCTATGAATGCCATATTTGTAGGTGTCATTATGATAAATGGCAATTTGCCAATTAATATAAATTCATGCATTGTTATTAAACTATGAACATCATTTGCAGTGAAAACAGCATAAACGAGAAATAAGTGTTTGATAAGATGACTTGAATAGTTTTTTCCGAACATCGGAATTATTGAGTGCCGATTGGTTACATAAGTTCAGAAAATCATCGCCGACGCTGGCGATTCGGTATGACCTTGTTACATACGATAGTATACTGTTATTAAAGCTGAGCACTTTTTCCGAGGAACTATGTATTTAGGCAAGCAAATTATATATGATCAAATTCGACGCTTACTAATTTTTATTTTAGTCTTTTGGCATGGCAACTATAATTACAAGTGCATTTGATTTTGCAATTGACATGTGCTTAGAAACTTAGATTTTTTTAATCTAATAATCTAAATAACCAGGTAGATCACAATTTGAGTGCAAATGATTTTTAAAAAGCTTAGCGATATTTTTACGAGCTTCGTTTGGAATTAAGCAATATTACCCAACGAAAAATACCCGTATAATGACAACAAACATATTAAAGTATTAAAGCTATGTTGCTTTTTAAGGGTGAACAAACTATAATAACTGTATTTAACATTATTTTAACAACTTATTATTAAAACTTAGTCTAGAAGTCCTATAATCATAACATTAGATAAGTATAACAAATTTACACTTATAAAAATGTTTAAAATGAAGTTTTCCTTTTTATTAATGTATGTTTTAGTGTGACCTTTTAGTCATGTTCATATGATATTGTAAAATAGTAGGTATATCAGCATTTGTTTTGTAACATGAAATACATTAATAAAATCTTGTCAAATAAATTGTTTTTAAGAAAAGGCATAATGCCAGACTACCAGGCATGTTAGTTCCACTGAAAATGTAGACAAAGTACATCTTTTCACAAAATATTTTGTAGTAACTTGGCAATCTATTTCTTATAGGTCGGCAGAATTTACATATTCTTGGCAATGAATCAACATAATTGCTAGGACATTGTCAATATTACCCATTTAACGTATTTAATTAAATAGTAAAATGTAATATTATTCCAATGTCATGTAATGCTAGAAATATTAAATGTCGCATAGAGTAAAAAGACTGAGCACAACCAATTTTAATAGGCTTTGGACAAATTTCGCAGAAGAATACAAATAGTGTGGAGTCACGTCGTAAGATCTAGTTTGTTTACTTCGATAATGTAGGAGGCTGTTATGTTGTAGACACGTTCGCATATCTGTTTTGTACGGAAGCCCATAAGTGCCATTTTGTCTTAGGAGTTATGTCTTATGACTAATGACTTATGTATTATGACTTTTGTCTTATGTATTATGACTTTACAAAAAAGCGGCAAAAAGACAAGTTTCATCAAGTACGCTCATCATGGCAGCCTTTGGAGGTAAATCTGATAGTGAAACAGCAGACGCTTTGGTAAGTGTTGAAATTTAAACAGTATGACAGTAGTGTATTTCTCCTTACTTGTATAATCATCTCCCTTACAAGGTTAGGGTTCGACTATGGATCATCTCAAATGAAAAAGTAGGTCACGGGCACAACAATTATGTTAACTGTTAAAGTTAAACTGTTAAAGTTTAAGTATCAAGATATTTGCAAAACAAAATGTGTGAAACTTTATTCTGTTTAAAGTATACATTATTATTTCAGGTAAATGCGAGTAGTAAACGTATTTAGGTACTAGGTTAGAAAATAGCAGGCTAAGACCAAGAAAACATTGGAAAAGATAAACTTATGGAGATTCATAGAGGTAAACATATTTGACATTTAGCCTCTACCTGTGACTCTTTTTACAAAGTAAAATACAATACATCGGTTTATAATTTATCTGGCAATTACAAAGCCCGAGTTACTGAATGATGATATTTTATCGAATTATCATATCATCTTGCTAGTTGAACAATATATGTGAATTTATCACACACCCGTGCCGATTTTGCGACTCCGTCAATATGGTATTGCACGGCCGTGCATATATTTTGACGTGACGTCATTAGCGTTATACAAACATAGCGAAATGACGCGCTAAATGTTAGCGTTATACTTTAGGCGCGTCAATGAAAAAAGACTCTTATTTCACTTTAAATGGTCTTTCTGATAGCTAGAAAACAAGAACAATATTTTTTAAATTCAAAATATATAATTGTTAAATTCATATCACATTAAACACAATACGAAAGTCATTATACATAAGACATACTACAAAAGTCATTGTACATAAGACAAAATACAAAAGTCATTATACATAAGACATAATACAAAAGTCATTATACATAAGACATAATACAAAAGTCATTATACATAAGACATAATACAAAAGTCATTATACATAAGTCGTAGTTTACAATACAAAATATGTCACGAAAAAAAGATTTGTAATACATAATAAGGTAAATGCTAATATATATATTAATCAATGTTGGCTCTGTAAATTTGTCCAAGTGGAACTATTTTGTAGGAATATCAGGGTAGAGTTTGCAAATAAACCCTCTTATCAGCAAATAATAATATTACACTAATGTATAGCAAATTTTGATGTGAGTGACACGTCTTTTTTCCTCATCATTAAATAACGGATACGTTCTTGTTAGATTAAAAACACCGACAATTTAAACATCAAATTTCAAGATAAATACATTGTATAGATAAATGCATTGGTGTATATTCATTAAATTATCCTTTATACCTTTTTTGCAGAAACAGCTTGGTCCTGGGAGGCATTTCTCATGAAAATTACAGTTTGGACGACTATTAAATTCGCAAGAAATTTTGACAAGTGACAGCACGGGCGGAGAGCAAGAATAAACGAGATCAATAAAGAAGAAAAAAGTGTTCAAATAATTATAAGTAATGCAACTAGATTTTTTTTTCAGATGCTATGGAAGTGAATCTGTCAAAACATAAAAGTGACATTTTAAAATAAATTTGTAATGCCAAATAAAGATATATTTAATTTTCAAGCGTACTTAAAATGTATATGTGTGTTTTAACCAAATAAGTTGAATTTTTGTTTTATTATTATCGCGAAAACAGCCTAGATTTCGTAGTTTAGACCTACCGGCCATATTGTATACATTGCATAACATTTTTGTAATACAGCTGTGACGTCAATGTTGTTAAAGATTTTTGGACAATAGCTGCATTTACCATATCCATAACAGATAAATTGTTTTAATTGCAATTAAAAGATAAGATAATAACATCAATTTTGTTTCTTTTAATATTGAAATTATTGCATGTCTTGATTTTATAAAAGATATAATTAATTGCTCACACAGATGCATACTTTTATTTTTACATAATTCTTGAAAAAAAAAACTCAATATGAAAATACACTCGTAATACCCTCTTTACGGTTGAACAAGAATAAAGCGATAGTACACATAAGCAACTTCATCAATAACTTCCAGTAGTTCCCTGTATAGTTCTATCGCCCCTTGTACATCTATTGGAATGCGAAGATTGGTCTTTAGTAATATTGTTAACTCTCCTGCGTATGCCGTACATTTCGCAACAAGCATCATTATCATGCTGATCTACAATCTTTTCATAATTGTGTCCACCAAATTATTCCGGTAAAAAGTAAATCAAATCGGGTTTACCATTTGGTATCTCAGGAGGACTCTTGTTTATGTATGATAAGTAGGCCTCAATTCACCGCTATTCTGTTAGTCTCGGCCTGAATCAAGTGTATGAAACATAATTTCAATCATTCACATTACCACACTCGTGACTGTCTTTTTAATCTCTGATAAAAAAAAATCACATTTGAATTCATTTACGTCTTGTGGTTCCTCTCCAGGTCTCTATTCATTGAAACATTGTTTTTTTGTTGTTGTTTAATTTTCGGAAATAAAACTTCTATAGGATTCGACATATTATTTGTATCATTGTACCGGAAGAACGGTTGAAGTAAATGTCGACAGAGTTGATATTTTGTGTAGCAATGTCAAACGTCTCCAGTGCTTCAAGATAATACATGGCGATGATGTTTGATTTGGGTTTTACGTCACACCGACACAGTGTAGGTTATTTGGCTGTGTTCCAACTTTACTAGTGAAGGAAGACCTCGGGTGCCCTTCCGTGCATTTTTTCAGGCACGAACGGGCACCTGAATAGAACCACCGACGTCCCGTAAACTAGCTGGATAGCTTCCTCACATGAAAAAATCCAAAGTCCCTGTCGGGGGCTCGAACCCACAGCGGTGAGGGGCAAGTAGATTGAAGTCAACGACCTTAACCACTCGGCCACGAACGCCACTACATTGCGATGACTGCAAGGTTGTTGTTACTTTGTGACACTTCAAGTCTTAGAATCCTAATAGCACCCAAACTCCTCACAGCGGTTACGTCACGCTTTGCTACTTTAACCACTGCCACCACTGAAATCACGTGATGATAGTTGTATCATGTGACAAAAACATGGCGGCCAGTTTCAGAACGACAAGGATCCCATATCAAACTGGCAGATTTATAATTACATCCTTACCAGACAAAATAAGTTCAAGACACACAATTTGTTATCACTTTAAAACAAGTGCCGGATCAAATATTTTTGTGCAATCGTTCAAAAACTGATTATATTCTGTCATTGTTTACTATGCATACGGTGTCACAGTGAAAATATCTTTCGTTATGTTTACAAAATAATTTTTATACGTATAATTTTTTACTTTCTTGTACATTAAGCATAACTATTTAACGAAAGAAAACTAAAATGATATAACGTATTCTGTTTTAAAATTAAAAGTGAAAAAAATATATCCGGCTATATTCGACCGAATTTACTTGTGGTGGCAGTGGTTACTGTACAGATCAGGGGAAGTAACCGCTGCGAGGAGTTTGAATAGCACCGTGTATATGCAAAAGTCATTTGGTTTCAGTTTATTGTGACGTCTACGTGCTATACATTACTTGAACCCTTTATTATTGCGTCTTTTCATTCTGTGGACTTTCCAAGTAATAATTCAATCAGGTCCAATTGTTTCCAACATATTGTATTCCAGACATAGCCACGTGCTATAAAACGCGGACATATTCAAAGATATCTGAAAAACAAAGTACATAAGCTATTAAACTATAGTTTGTAATTCATAAGATGTCAGACAAAAACAATATTTGTATGTAATGTATTAAAATGCTGCTGTACGATGAATCTTTTAAAATTATTTCAACTAATGTGTAATAGACTAATAGTTTCGTTTTTTATTGAAATTAAGCCATAGTTGCCAGAAGATGAAAGTTTGAACTTAGACGGAGTTTGGTTCACATAGAACAATAACAGCTACTTTGTTGGTATGATGGTAGAATCTAAAGCAATTATGTTGCCAAGGAAAACTATAAGTGCTACGCATGTAAAGTTGTATCTTAATTAAATTGTTACTAAACCAAAGTATTTAATTATGACTAGATTAGAAATATTTCAGCTAAAAATTTAGGATTTTTGTTTTGTTTCGTTGTAGTTTAAAGTGACATTATGCTCATTTTTTCATTGGCAAATTGACTTTAATTGACTATATATTTCAATTAACTGGTCGTTAATGGTGATTGACATGATATTTGAAAATGTTTAGGGTAAAAAATAAGTCTACCTAGATGGTGTACGGACATAATCCCCTTCGGACAAAATCCCCTTCATGTATTTTTGTATGTCCGGACATAATCCCCTTCAAGGGTGGACATAATCCCCTTCATGTTTGAAATTTTGAAGTGGACAAAATCCCCTTCATAAAATTGCTACCTAGGACAAAACCCCCCTCAGAGGAATTTTCAGTTTTCAAAGTGGGTATGAGAGCTACATACTGCATTATGCTGTGTAGTAAATATCTTAATGTAAAAATAAGTAGAAAATATTTCAGCAGAAAAGCACATTCAATTAGCAACATTTAAATCACATTAAAATTTCTTTGTTAAAGCATTCATAATAATCAATCAAGTAGTGCAGTGATCTTGGTTTGATTAAATTATCATTCTTTCATCAATAGAAATTGTAACAGTGGATAGTATAAAAATTTATCAATTAGAATTATCAACTTATACAATCAATGTAACAATTAGTGGCTTATAAAAATGTTTTTCATACTAATCAATTTAAAACAGTGAGTATTACAGAAATTGCCAAATCAAATATGTGTTATGCAGTTGATAATTTTAATGAAAACTTCTAAACTAAATAAAGGTGAAGCATTGATTAAAAAAAGAAAAGTTCATTATTCATCAATTTTTAGGGAGTATAATAATACATTATTCATCAATTTTTATGGAGCATAATAATACATTAGAAACTAATGAAACAAGGGGATTTTGTCCCTGTAGCGAAGGGGATTTTGTCCAGCCTTGCAAAAAAAAAAAAATGAAGGGGATTATGTCCACCCATGAAGGGGATTTTGTCCGGGTAGGTGAAGGGGATTTTGTCCGAAGGGGATTATGTCTGACATTCTACCTAGATATATAAAATGATTGCTCCACTCTTTTTTATAAATTGAAAGTTACAGATACATTCCGATGGATAATTACACACATTTCACAGGACCTATAGTGAGTTATTTTATCGTCCATGTGAAGAAAATTATAAAATTGAAAGGAATTATGAGAAAATGTTAACTTATTTTGACTTTCACCTGTTCACTCTATTTCTACCCATGTATGGGCATAATGTCACTTTAAGGCAATTTCACAGTATTTCAGTCATTTAACTAGTGTCCCTGGATTCTGTACCAGTACTAATATCTTTTCCACGAGCTATGCGGGCAGGATATAAGTAACAAGATGTCTGTTTAAAGACCAAGAGCACCCAATACAGGTCTTGAATATTAAAAATTACTTAATGCTTTGAAAAGAAGTTAAAAGCGGCATAACTCTATAAAGCCATCAATGGAATCAAAGTTCCAAGTTGTTATGCATGCAATTATGTCATACATTTTTGGAAAATAATGAAACAGATGCGAGGAGGAGTAACATTTAAAAAGTAAAGTATTTCACAAAATTGGGAGTCTCGTTAAAACATTTTTTCCATTAATTTTACAGCAAAGCCTTTACAGAAGTTGTCATTTCATAAACATTATGATTATGTAAAACTGATCACAATTCAACACTTACCAATGATGTCTTCTCTTCTTATTTTTGTACCCATTCTGTACGCCGCAATGGTTGCACGAAACGAAACTAGTTTAAATATAATTTGCCACCTTCTGACATAAGTCATAAAGCATAAGACAAAAGTCATTATACATAAGTCATCAGTCATAAGACAAAACTCCTAAGACAAAATGGCACTTATGGGCTTCCGTAGTTTTGTGTCCAATTAGTTTTCATTTTCGTTTCATAATTATATGATTTTGTTAAAATGTTGCTGTTTACATAAATTATATTAGTTACATTCTTTAGGAATTTTATATTTAACATTTGATATTAATAGCTGTGTTGCTTGTTTTTTACCTCAACTTCTGATTATTTTGATTCAACGTCCGTTTAGAAACTGTAAGTGATTGCAGACGCAATATAAATACATTTAATCGTACAGTTATTTGAGTTACAGCAAACTGTCGTCTTCTTCATCACCCATTTGTTATGTAACAAATCAAACAATTATTTTCAATATGTAAAATTTCTTTCAAGGACAAAGTTCATCTCACATAATTTTAGTTACCAACAGCTAATGAATGGTGTACACTATAAAATCCTTGTCCATTTCTAAAATTATAGTGATTACCGTACCATTACGACGTCAGCCTGTTAGTTGGCTTATAATGACATGTTGTTTTAGTGCTCTCTAAGGCGACTACGTATAAGATTTTAAAGTACACATTTCAAATTAAATACATGTATACTATTACATTTTATCAATTTAAACTCTGTACCATTTTCTGTTAATTAAAGCATAAAGAAATAAACTTATGTCCGTATTAGGATTAAATAAACTATTTCTCGATTTTTTACACTGCACTGAATATATTCAAATAATATTTAATGCTTAGCCCTGGAGTGGTGCAAGATTCGTACCATGAGTTATCGGACTTGTTGCACTGGAAGCTAATGGTGTACGATTAAAGCATACAT